TCGGCTTATTGTCATTGATGAATAAAAAAAACTCAATTTCATGACGGTCATGATCTTGACACTCGATTAAAGCAACATAGTACGTCATATGTAATGCGACGAATTATGATCGTTTCTTTGCGATGAGACTACATATATCTGTTATTTGCTTGCATTTAATCTTTCAGCTATAAGCTACAAATAAATGTTTCTTTGAATTACTAATAGACAAAAAATAAATTGCTTATTAATTTTGATTGCACAATGAAAACATAACTACACATACGCAGGTATGTATGCGATTTAAAAAAATTCATATAAAATTAAATAATATTTAAAATTTATATTTAAAAAGTTCACGAGAATTTTTTTAAAAATAAAAACGTAACTTTGACGAAAGAGTATCTCGGCAAGAGATTACAAAAAATAATTTAAAGAAGTCATGCGTCGAAAGATAATTATGACTATATTGAAGATAAAAAGGGACACATGGTGGGGTTGAGAAAAAATGTTTCTCATATCATGGTGGGATAAAAATATGTTTCTGAAGTATAATAACAGTAAAGTCATCGAGCTATGTCTAGTCTTTACTCGACTACGGTTTGCGTCGGATACGTTTTTTCTATCATATGATTTCGTGGATACATGTTTTCTTTCATTTTTAGTGAAATTATTTTATATTAATCGTGTTCAAGAGTCAAACGAAAACAGGTCAGAAGAAAAAAGGAATTAAAAAAAGGTTAGAAAATGCAATCGTTTATACACAAATATTTACAAAGAATTAATTTTCTATGAAAAAATAACTTCACAAATAAATATTTAACTTAAATGAATTTGATTATTTATTCATATTAAATATTCTGTTAATTTTCTGTATGTGTTTATAAATAAATAGTTACATGTTACATAAAGTACTAGTTACTAAGAATAATATATATAATCTTTTTCTTTTCTAATAGTTTGTAAACTACATTATTCAAAATTATACACTGTATTTGTTTATTTAAAAATTATACACTGAAAAAATATTTTAATTTTAAAAAAAATTTTAATGGATTTAAAAAAATAATTTTTTTTTAACACAAGCAATGATAATATTTATTTAAATCTTGCAGTATATTATGTAAATTATAAATATACAAACATACAATGAGGCTCCAACAGATAAAAACAGATAAACTCGCTTATGTTAATTTCTTTGCGAGATTATGTAATTAATATAGATTTTTACGCAATTCATTTAAATTGCGACCGATGTGAACCTGGCGTTCAACTTTATCAAAAATAAAAATTAATATCGCAGACTGTTTGTACTTCATTTGTACTTGTTTGTACTGATCATTATTGTACCTCATTATTTGTACCTCAAACAATTAAACAAAAAATGAAAAATAAAAAATGGCCAGCGCACAACTTTAAGATTTTTTAATTTCATTTATGTCGATATTCGAAAGAGAATCGTTTGTACCCGTTTGTACCTCTTCTACTTTCGTTTGTACCTCAAAGGAATCGGAGATATAGCGCGTTTCAGTTTTTGCGCAATCCCTATATAGCGAACTTAGCCAATTTTCAAGATATCGAAATGGGACCAACGGCATTCGAAAGAGAATCGTTTGTACCTGTTTGTACCTCTCCTACTTTCATTTGTACCTCAAAGAGTTCGAAGATACAGCGATTTCAAAATTTCAAAAATGTACCAAGAGGGGAAGTCGGTCATTTTTAAAGATATCGAAATGAGACCAACGGTATTCGAAAGAGAATCATTTGTACCCGTTTGTACCTCTGCTACTTTCGATTGTACCTCGAAGGATTCGGAGATACAGTGATTTCAAAATTTCATAAATGCGTGAAGAGGGGAAGTCGGTCATTTTTAAAGATATCGAAATAGGACCAACGGCATTCGAAAGAGAATCATTTGTACCCGTTTGTACCTCCGAACCCTTTTACTGGTGGTGGACTGGACTGTTGATCCTATTTCGATATCTTGAAAATTAGCTAAGTTCGCTACATAAAGGTCGTGCAAAAACTGAAACGCGTTGTATTTCCCTTCGAGGTACAAACGAAAGTAGGAGAGGTACAATGGATACAAACGATTCTCTTTCGAATGGCATAAATGAAATTAAAAAAATCTTAAAGTTGTGTGCTGGCCATTTTTTATTTATCACTTTTTGTTTAATTGTTTGAGGTACAAACGAAATAATGACAAACAAGTACAAACAAGTACAAACGGCCTGCGATATTAATTTTTTATTTTTGATAAAGTTCAGCGGCAGGTTCACATCAGTTAAATTGCGAACTTTGATTTTGGATACTTGTTTATTGTATGGCACGGTAAGCGTTTCTGCATTTTGCGAGGGCTTAGTTGAATAATTATTGAATTGATAATAAATATCGAATTGATAAAGAAACGTGCAATTACTCGCAAACTTATAGAATGATCTTGTTCTTGTTGTATATCAAATGTTAAACAAGGATAAATGCTTGCGAGCTATGTATATCCGACTTATATAGCTCAACGTTAGAGTTTACCAAAATTTTATGTTCGAATTTCATTGACATTTTCGAAAATTATAAAATTATAAAAGCAACTGTAATTAATAAAATTTATGTGTAACGTTGTTGTCAACAAAAAAAAAATTAAATGTTTAAAAAATATTTTTAAAAATATTAAATTTATCTGTAAAAAATATTAAAATATTAAAAAAGATATTAAATTTATTTAGTAATTTGGTAAACTTAATCTTATTTTTTTCATTTTTTTTTAAAAACATTTTTTCAATATTCAAATACATTATATAGAAATATTTATCTTTAATAAATATTTATCTTGTTTAGAAAAACGTTTTATTTTATTTAACGAATTATTATTTGAGTAAAACAATAATAATTACAAACGGATTCTCAAATTTTTAAATAATATACAAATAAATAAAAGAGCTAATGAGAGTCAGCGCTAAACGGCGCAAATTATTGACATATATATGAAAAAATTAATACTCAATAGTTTATGAAGTCTTCTTTATTTAAATTCATCTTTGACAATTTATAAGTGACTTGATCTTCATGGATATGTGAACTTTCGATTCGAATTGTATCTACATTGCTGAGGAGGATTCCAAAGACTTAAACTGTTAAAATAAAAAGAAGACATCATACTAACTACTGAGTATTAATTTTTTCGTAATAATTTGCACAGTTTAGTCGCGCTGACTCCTATTAGCCCTTCTTTTATTTACTTATATGGTATTTGAGTAAAGAAAAATACATTAAAATAAAAAAAAATATTATTACTTGTTAAGATTAACAAATGATCGCACATAAAATGCGAAATTGGATATTTATCTTTATGCATATGTTTATGCGGCTATACATACATGCAAATTTGTCTAGATATGGATTAAATTTGCGTTAATTATTATATTGAATTTATTGATTATGGCATAAGTTAACATTTTATGGCCAGTATAAACACTATTTAAAGCTAGTGAACTAATGAATATCTTATGTAAATCAATATGGTATATTTATACCAGATGCTCATTAATCCAGTGACCTCAATTTTGTGTGTGATAACTTAAGATTGGAGCATAGACTTTTGCAATCCTTTGCATAATACATAAAGCATAAGAAAATGAATCAATTAGTTCTTTATTTCGTGAAAAAGAAGGAAATGAAGAACTTTGATTGATCCATTACTTTATGTATTTCCATTACTTTATGCGTTACGCAAAAATGTGCTTCCACCCTTACAGATATATCCAAATAAACTTGCACAATCGCATAAACGTATGTATAAAAAAATAATCTAATCACATTTATGTGCATCTTTATAATAAAAATTAAATAATTTTCTTAGGTATACATTTATGCGGTTATGCATGTTTGTCTAGATAGACCATAACAGTTACAAAAAAAAAAAAAAACAAATTTAGTAATATTATAATTTTATAACATAAGTTTCAATTGATTATTATAGACATAAAATAATCAATAGTTTCTGGTCTTAAAAAGAATTAAATAGTTATTATCATTTAAAAGGAATGAATGCAAATAACCCAATTTCGAAATTCCGATTTCCTACGAAAGTCGTTCACACAATTGTTATTTTTGCCGATATCGATTTGCAGTTATTATAAATTTCATAACTAACTGAAACTTGCAGTTATCGACATCAATTTTCCGCGCGTCGACACCCTTCATGAAATGGATTGTTTCTTAGTTGTTAATTAGAGCGTAGCATTATGTAGAAAAAAAAACGCAGGTAATAGCTATTTTAATCGTGTACACAACATACGAAAGATATCTATAAGCGAATATGACGTAGATGGCAGACGTTGTAACCAAGCGGAAGTACTTCCAAGCATGGTCGAGTTCGTGCATCAACACTAAATTAATTAACATATTCTCGTCAAGACATTTGGTTTATGAATATCAAGTACGATATTCACAAACCATATGGAATTCTTTGACATATTTATGCCATCATTTCTTCCAATTTTGTAAAATTTTCAAGTTTTTCAAATTACCCATAGTTGTTTTTTCCTCCTTACAGTGAAGATTATTAACTTAATTCACAAGTAATTATATTATCATATATAATATTATGTCAATATGCAACTGTTGTTTTCTATTAAATTTTTTGATATCATTTTTTTAGACTTTCACGGTTTAATTTGTTTAATTAGAATTAAATAACTGAAAAAGACTTGACATATACAATCCAATTAAAATACAATCCAATTAAAATAAGATTATAGTTATAAATAGGAATTAGCGCATCAATTATATGACATCTTATATATATAAATAACATCTTAATATCATGTCATGAAATCATCATTGGATGAGAAAATGTTTGTCAATCTGTTATGGTGAAATTCAAGTATTTCAAGTTTAATTTTGCAAAGAATATAGAGATAGAATTGATGGTTAAATGATTCTCAGCCAGTGATCATCTTAGTCTTGCGTAGGTAAGTTTGTTGCTAAAATAAAATGGAAAGGAAAAATTCTGTCACACTCACCTAATCCCATATCTCGGAAAATTTCCTTTGGCGCGATTTCAATTTCTTGCTTCTTGCTGATTGGGCGAGTAGAGACATAATCGGTTTCTTTGGGTTTTAGTATTTCGCGTCGTTTGATACTCTCCTGCTTCGAATCGGTTGTCTGCTGCGGCAGCGTCGGTGACGGCTTTGTAGTCTCCGCGATTAAGAAATCACTCGATGTTTCGTACACGTCCTGATGTGCCTTTTCCAGGAGCTGTGCCTCTCTAGGTAATGGAGGCAACGGTTTCGTTGGCGGATCGAATACCTTCGCCTGTTCTCGCTTCAGGTCTATTTTCTCCATCACATTCCATGAGTCATCATCCGTAATATTCTTAACTTTGTTCTCCTTCAATAACTCGCTGTCATCTCCAAGGAAATCTATCAATGGTGATTTTTCCGGTGCCGGTAGCATCGACGACTTGATGTTTTGCATAAAATCGTCGGTATTGGTGCTCAATGGAGTGACATCACGCTCATATTGCTTTCTGGTAAACAGTGTATCCTCGCGTTCCTCGATCGGTTGAACCTTACTGTCGACAGGTTTCATCGACGATGACAGTAAAAGGTCGCTATCAGGTTGAATGGTCGTAGTCGCGGTCGAGGTCGATAACAACGGCGGTTGGAGAAGTATCTCTTCCTGTTCGTTGTCATCATTGTTGTCATCGTCGTCGTCGTCATCATCATCATCATCATCAAGTTGATGATGATAGATCCGCTCGGTCTCGACGAATGTCATGCTGGCTAGCTTGGGATCGACCGGGTCCAGCGGCTGCTGAAACGGATCCGACGACTGCGCCATGGCCGCGCATTTATCGAAGTCCGCGGAAGGCGGCGGTGTCGCCGGTACGGGTTTCGCTTCGGCGTCAAGAAGCGCGCTAGGTAATGCCGAGTCCAGTGGATGAAAAGAATCACCGATGTGTAGCAGATCATCGACACGTGGCGCGTCAATTGGCTGCGATGGCAGATGCTGTTGTTGCTGCTGCTGCTGCTGCTGCTGCTCCGAACGATCGTCTGGAGAGCCGTCGTGGCCAAGATGTTCGAAATCGTCGACGGAATCGTGATCCCTCTTAAGAAGGACGTCGTTGAGATCATCCTGAATCCGTGGGTCCATCTTCGGGTTTAACGAGATAAGAACGATTTGTGTGCTTGACGATGACTCACTGGATCTACACGAATTGGCCAGTAGCCGTTAGAGCTTCGATCCCCACACGATGTCGGTTGCGCGGAATATTGCGCGACGCTCCCTACTCTCATAAAAGTCAGATACGAGGAGCGGCGCTACTCCCACCTGCCGCTGCTCTTGTTGGTGCCGTTGCAATTCCTCAGTGGGGCACATCCGATGTCCTTGCCGTCCTGACTCACCACTGCCTTTAGTCACTGATTAGTCACCACTGCCTCTACCTCGCTACACCCTCTTTTTGTCACTTCACGAAATACATGCGAATACCACTAATACCAACTATATCTACTTACTTGTCATATGCGCTGTCATTGACCAGCTGACAGAATTAAGGACGGCGAGAAGCGTGATGAGGCAAGCAAAATCTTTAGTAGGGCAGAAACTGGAAAAAATTCGACCACAAACTGTGTTAAATGCGAAACAATAACGTCGAAACGTTAGTATTCAGGCTAGATTGTGCTTGAAACAGGTTGTGTTTGATACAATCGATGTAGACGAGTAGATTTGGTCGTCATGAGATGCACTTCCTTCGCGAAGGGGTTGCCCTCTCCCGTTGTTCTGACAGTGAACAGCGCGAACCAATCGCGCGGATGCTATCCATCCCTACCATATTCAGTATGCCGAACCAGTCGAACTGAGCAGCAACCGTTGCGTTTGATTTTTACCGTTTTGATTCGTTTCGCCGGCTGAACAACAGGGACTCCATTCTTGACAAGAAACAGATACGAACTAGGGAAATATTATAATACACGTTACGTATACTGTAGTATTTACCTAGTTATTCGTATATGTTTCTTTTCAAGAAGTATAGAAGCCAGATAGATGTTGTTACGAGTGATTTAACTTAACTTCCATTGTGCACCGAGATTTTGAAGGTGATCGCAAGCATCGACGAGATGCCATTAAATTATTAGAGGTCCTAAGAAAATTTTCGTGGCTAATTAATGAGGTCCGAGGAGTCCAGGGATAATTAAGGAATGATTATTCGCAATGGATATAAATTTGCAATTATCAATATAAATATTTAGAATATTTGGATAATACATTATGAAATATATAATTTTTTAATATACATTTTTAAATGCAACATAAATAAATATGCATATTTGTATAATGCTATAATATTTCACAATTTTCAAATTTTGCATTGTATAAAATTAAGTTAGCTTAGAAATCTATAAAAGTAAACTTCAGAAATTAATTATAAGTGATTAATAGAGAATATTATTATCTATGTATCAGGTATTTTAAACCACCTCATTTAAAAATGAGAGAAATGATTATTTTAAAAAAAGACAAAAGTTGTTGGGGATCAAGTAACGTATTACATGGACATGCAATTGACCTTGAAAGACGTCATGAAAGATACATCAGAGTAGACTTGAATGAAAGCGGGATTGCCAAGTCTCGGGAAATTTCCTGAGATTCAATGAAATTTAATGAAGTGATAGGAAAACAGAATTTTAGTGAAATCGAAATTTACTGAAATTTTTAAACTTTTCCAATATTTAAGGAAAAACATCAGGAAATTTTATAATTTTTTAAATATGAAAGAAAGTTACAACACAATTGTTGTGAAAGATATAAAACTACATATTTTGCAACTACATTGTACGTCGTAGAGAACGAATTTCTCTAACGAGTTTCGATAGATTACTTATAGATATCGCAATCGCCCGGCATATTACAAAGGCCCTATTCTTGAACAAATATGAAAATAGCAATTCCGTTACAACAATTGGTTAATTACAATCGAGAAATATTATTTTCATATGCGAAAATTATTCGAATGTGCTCAAGAATAGGGGTCCTGATCTGTTTTCTATGACTGAATTAGTGTACATACATACATGATGATAATAAGTTAACATATAATTAAAAGTTCCTATTTCTATTAAGTAAATGTGATCTCAAATTTGATGTGATATTACTTTGTTAAGCTTGCTAAGAGTATATTTCTTTCTAAAAATTTCTTTCTAAAAATTTTTACGTCTAAAAATATTTTGATACATTTTAATTTCATTACTTTAAATATGAAACGCTGATCTGAATGTTAAGATGTTGAACTATTACATATATTCATATAAATGAATTAATTTCAGAAATGATAATTGCCGATGGTTGTCGGAACTTTCAACGTAATCTGAAATATTAATAATCTCCCCAAATTTCCTAAATTAATCTTAAAAAACTGATTAAATTATCATTTCTGAAATTAATTCATTTATATGAATGTATATAATAGTTCAACATCTTAATTCAAACCATAGTGGCGCTTTATATTTAAAAGTATATTTAAAGTATATTTAAAGTAATGTATTTAACATAAATGGTCTTGTTTCCAATCTTAAATTTTAATTTGTTTTTAGTTATATAACTCGCAACATTATATAACGTTATATTTGTGTATTTGTGAAGTACTTTTTCTTATTAAAACAAAATAATTTGTTTACACTCCAATTTGTGCCATTATTTATTAAACATAAAATAAAAAAATAATTTTTGAAAATTTTTTTCTCAGGAATGTTGTGATTTCTTTTCCTAAATTTTTATAAAATTTTCTACTTTTTCAAGAATTTCTCAGGAACTTCTCATATTTTGTTTTCAAGAATTTTTCTCGGGAAATTTTACTACAAATTCTAAGGAAATTATTCTTTTCGACTTGGCAATCCTGGTTTTAAGTGGGAATTTAAATGTTTTATTGCATATTCTTATAGCTGACATCAAAATGTTCTCGAAACATTGGTTATATTACAAACCCTTTTTAGTTGAGATCTTCCCAAGTTATGAAATTTCAAAGTTTCAGTACTACTAGCGTTATCCAAAATATATGCATGCAGGAGGTCGCACGACCGGATTTATATCTCTTCGGGACACTTGAATATAGTGCACCTTACACATTCATACTCAGCCCAAGGGCTACTGATCTGTTGTCAACGATTACAGTAATTGGTGCAATTAAGCAATTACAAATCGGTTTTCATATATTTTCAATGCTAAATAAATTAATTCTTTTAAAGTTATGAGGTTATCGTGATAAAGAATTAAGATATGTAATTAAAAGGGTTAAATTATTTATTAATATTGAAAATATGTAAATTAATTTGTGTCAAGATGTATTAAATAATTGAAAAGTACCCATACACAATCACACGGACAGTACAACCAAAAAGAGTGCCCAAGATTTAGCTGTTACCTTGTTTTGAAATGCCTCTATATTCACAAGATGGACATTGAACGTAGCTAATGATACCTAAAGATCAATTCTGATATCTTGAAACAAAGTGAAAATTACAAAAGTGAGTAAATTTACTAGATATTTCTTGATGTCAATGATTCTGTCGATAATGTTCACGATTTTTTGATTCTATTTTCCATGCAGTCCACCATTTTCGATTTCAGTCCATTAAGTCGATTCTACATTAGTTGCAAGCCGATCGCAATTTTATTGCGCGACAGCCAATCTGAAGCTTGCATTTGAAAATCAACGCTTAATATTGGCGTCGCAACAAACTTGCGATCGGTTTGCAACTAATGTAGAATCGGCTGTAGACAATAACGGACAATCAATTTTATCGTCGTGAAACCTTAATATTATTTATAGTAGAAATAATGCGGGGTCTACAATATAAAATAATGTCTACAATAAATCATTAGTAATAGATCAAAAGTCAGAAGCTAAAAATTGACCAATCACAGTCAAATGTAAGAAGAATAATTGACTATGATTGGTCAATTTTTAACTTTTGATTTATTACTAATGGCTTATTGTAGAATGTGTGTAAAGCCGCATGTGTGTAAATTCTACATTAGTTGCAAGCCGATCATAAATTTGTTGCAACAGCCAATCTGAAGCTTGCATTTTGAAATCAACCCTTAATTTATATTAAGTCATAGCAGTTGTAGAGTCTTAATTGATAAAATATTAACCAATTACAGATTATTCTTCTCATATTCGACTGTGATTGATCAATTTTCTATGACTTAAGATCTTACGACCACATTAGCAAACGAGAATGGATTGAAATGAATTAAAATGGATTCAGATTTTCAGAAATATTGATTCACGAATATTAAAATGAATGTTTTTCAATTCTGAATGCATTTTTATTCATTTATCGGAATTGCATAGAGCATATCTCTATGCCTTTCAATCTAAAAATAATATTAACTTTTTCTGTACACAACATATAAATTGTGAATATTGTTCAATTCAAAATTTTGAATAGGAAATGTAGTTTTTCAATTCAATTGGATCCAATTGAATCTAAAAAATTAATTAAATCTAAAAAAAAAGTATTCCCTATTTAAAATACGCATTCGAATAGAAAAAAATTTCAATCCATTTTAATCCATTCTCATTTGTTAGAGCTACGACTTCAATAGATGACTTTATGATTGTATGATTTCTGCTTTTTAATCGCTTAACACATCTTAGGTCCGGTTGCACTAACGTTACTTTGACTTTAAGCGAAACTTAAAACTCTCTCTGTCTCGTTTTAAAATAAAAAAGAGACAGAGACAGAGAGAATTTTAAGTCTCACTTAAAATCAAAGTAATGTTGGTGCAATTAGTGCCTTAACACAAATGTACACAGGAATATACAAAAGAATGGTCAACGCGATGCTGCAAATGCTTTTTAGCGTTTTTTAACTGGTCAGTTTATAAAATTCTTTCTTCTAATTGGTCCATCAAATACTTCAAAGTATTTGTAGCGAGACTTTGACCACAGCCTGAGTATAGCAGATGTGTTGTGTCGATGCGTTTATTCACTACCAGTGCCGAAGCTATATAGTATACGTTACGTTGCGCTATAGATTTTCAGCATTAGCAGTGAATATCAGCATTAGCAGTAAAACATATCCGATAACGGATAATTAGAATGTACGAAAATGGGTCTAGGGATATTGCAATAGCACCCTATGTAAACGGGCCTTTAATCTTTTAGATTTCTAGCATACGCAGACGCACATGCGTGGCATTGCTGCGGCTGAACTGGCAGGACTGGCTGGAGTCAACTGAAAGGGTGGTGGTCAGTGGTCGACAGTGGTGGTCAGTACCGTCAGTGGAGGAATGAAATGTAGCGTAACGTGGAGTTGGAGTAGTGAGTGATAGCGACAAGTATTTGCTCCGACTTGCTCCGACATTCGACGTCGTATCTAGTCCTATAATCCTATCGTGCTATTGGTTCAGTGGCTCTCGGCTCGAGTGACTCGAGTCTGTAGCGCGAAATCATCATTATCCAGTTGCTGGAATCTCTTAAGTCGCTTAGCAATCTGGTGTGGATGATCGAGCCGATGAGGATGGCGACAACGACCACCATGAGATTGCGTGTTGGTACATGCGGCGAAACAGCGTCGTCGAATCTCGAAGGGAAGAAACTGCGGAATGGCTTAACCTCCTCGCCCGGCGTTATGGATACCGGCAAAATCAACGGTTACACTCTACCAAGTAACGGCCACGTATACGTAAGTAAACGATGTAATGATACTCGCACGTTATATGATCCCATCGGTTACTTCGATCTCACGTTCGCCGTATCACACGGTGTCCAATCGCGTCCAGTCGTGTCACGTCACCCTTTTCTTCAGTCACTCACAATCAGTGACATGGACCGTTATCAATGTTGAATTTCAATTACTCCACTTCCTTTTCTTCGCGAGATACACTTCATTAAGTGACTTTGAAGTATACAGTTTGCTTCAAAAAGTACAATAAAAATTTTGATAGTTTATTCGGTGATTTAATTCAATCAATGGAGTAAAAAAGAAATTTAATTGCTTGGATGCATATTAAAGCATATTATCATTGTATACTGATTTAAGCGTAAAAATAAAGTATAAATATTTCAAATTATAAAATATATTTATTATCTAACAGCACAATTCAGGGTTGTATTGTAACAGCACAATTGAGGATTTAATTTGTTTCTGTATTAAATACATCTTTATATCGACTTGTAACAGCTTTAATTTGTGCAGAGGCGCTATTCTGACTGTGTTCCAAAATTTAATGCCAGTATTGAAAATCTATACACATAACATAAGTTATAAATTTTCAATATTGGCAGTAAATTTTGGATTACAGTCTTTATATACGTCTATCGATAGTTGTCGGTATCGTTATGTGCCGTTATGCAATTATTTTGTACAAAAATTGCGCAATGACATATAATGACACAACAATTTTCGATGTGTCGTCTAAAATACATGGGAAACCACTTTGACTAACTCCGATTAACTTTGATTGACAATTAGGAATTGACCAATCGTATTTGTCATTTGGTTTGAAAGATGCGATTTGTCAACTCCAATCGATTAAAGTTAATCGGAGTTGGTTGAAGTGGCCCTAAGAGTAAGAAATTGACCAATCACAATCGAATGTGAGAAGAATAATCGATTGTGATCAATTTCTTACTCTCACTTACTCCAGATATTGTAGACGAAGCATAATACTTGTTCTACAAGAAACTGGCCAATCACAGTTAAATATGAAAAAAATAACTATGATTGGTTAATTTCTTACGGCTTGCGACTTTATTAGAATAGGCTTAGAGCCTAAGCACAAAAATGACCGTAATTGAATACGATCAATTAAATTCGATAATAACTCTAATCTAATCTTTTTCTTTACACGTTAAACAATTGAAAAATTAATAATTTTATTTTGTAACAAGATAATATAAGCTTGATAAATTAATTGTTAATTAAATTAATCACAGTTTTATTGAAGTTTTTATGATGATTTTTATCGAAATTAATTTACATTAATTCAGCTGATAAGATTGCTTATAGCATATAATTCATCAATCCGTAATTTTATTTTATCTCTTACATGTCAGACAAAAGAATATTTCTTATGCTAATTAATAAAATATTACATTATGACGAGTTGATTATAGATTAAATTACTTCGGGATCTTGAATTCGACATTTTTTTCTTATTTATGCTGTAAAGATTAATTTTGAAATTATGAAATTATTTAGACATAAAATTAAAGATAAAATTAAAGATAAATTTAACTTAAATGTTTTGATTGATAAAATACCTAATATTAATATTACTATATTTAGTATTTTGCATATTATCTTATATTATTTTACCGATCATAAAATATTTATATCGTGCTTTTAAATTTATATAAATTGTTTAATTCTATATATTTGTTTATTCACATAATGTTGTTCATGGTCTATTATTAAAATATATAATGTAGAGGAGACCGGTTATCAGTCATGGTTTTTGAATAATTGTTAGAAAAAAGTGAATTTGAAATAAGACTTCGAAACTATGTATGTTGCAGTATACCTACAATATTTCTCTCCCTTAGGTATTGAAAATACCTAATATGACAATTAGCCCCGTACATATTCGGGATTGATTGTCATACATTGGGTAGTAATATATTTTTTATGATAAAACATACAAATAGTTTTTATTTCAATGTTAGTTCGATATTTCGGGAAATAACAATAATTGCAGTATTGCAAGTTATTTTAATCATAAAATACGTAATTTGTTTTTGTAACAAATTTTTTATACGAGAAATAAAAGACATATATAACTACTTATATAAAAAATATATTTGCAAACATATTCTAAAACCATATCGATTTAAAGAGATTATAAAATTGATTGTCATCTAATCTTGACATATTTTGCTCAGTTTATATGGTCGTTTTTAGTAAAAAAAAGATTTTATTTACAATAATGATTAATTAACTATAGTAAAAATTATTTAAGGTGTGTGTGCAGCTGGCCTCACTTGGTGGAAACTCATTAAATATTGAGAGTTCTGAGTTTATCTTCAGTTTTATCACTTTTTATGGAAAAAAATTGTTTAAAAATTAAATTAGCAATCATTCAGTTAATCATTTTAAAATTATGTATCTTTTAAAATCCTATAGTATGACCTTCGTTAGACAAAGTGAGCGTTGCATGAATCTGGCGTTTCATTTTACACTTTAAATTTCTCGACTTTAATGACCGGAACTATTTGTTTAGCCTATGTAGCGTTATCGAACTATTGATAATAAACTCATAACTCTCAATATTTAATTAATGAGTTTCCATCAAATGAGATGTCAGCTTTATTCAATTATTTAAGACATACCATTTTTTACAACTACAGGATAATCACGATTGGTAATACTAAAAAAACGTAATACAAAAAAAAAGAAAAATTTACTTAGCAATTTACTTTTTTTTTTTATTTATTTTTTAGTAATTAATAATAAATATAACGTAAAGTAAATATTAAGTGAAAAATATCAAATAAAAAAAAATATCAAATAATCAAATTTTGTTTTTTAAAACTCTACTGGACTAGATTTAAAAAATTGGATTTTTTCCAGTCCTGGTATGTAACAGTTGAAACAGTGTTAATTAGCATTATATAGTATTAGCATTTTATAGTAGTGCAAGCATTATTATGCTAGAGAAATCACAGAATTTATTATAATTTTTTTCTCATTAAAAATATAGAATATGAACGACTAATTCGCTTTTTTAAACACGACAGAATACTTTGCGATGTGACCACGAGGTTGCTTACTTGTCCATGAAATGTGATAAGTGATCACGCTATGCTCGCAGAAATCGTTATCAGTGCTGTAATCAACTTTTTAGATTAAGATGACATGTTAAGATTGCTTAAGGGGATAGCTATAAACGCTATAAGCGCTATCTGTGTCATTTTATCTTTGTTTTATAAATGAAAGCTAAAGATAAAATAATGTAAATAACTTTAATAGCACTTCTCCGAACGAATCCTAAATATCTTAATTTTTTCCTTTCCAATAATTGATGATGAAAAAGCATATATGCAGAATTTTATTCTGATATAATTGACTTGGAACGTGAAAAGAATATTAAAAAAGTATTTTTTGAATAGATATCACATCTTACAATTATTCTAGCAAATATTCTAGCAAATATTCTTGATAGTGATGAATTAAATCAATAAGCGAGAAAGATAAAATGTAACAAGTAAAGAAATTAATGTTGCGTGCAGAAAATAAAGGAAGAAGATTAGATATATTAATTGCACATGTACTGAAGCATGCTTATTCAAAAAGTTGAGCAAATGTATTAATTTGTGATTATTATGAAACGAAAAATTATTATCAGAATCTACATTATAGAATTTTTTATAAAATGCGTGGACTGGATATTGTATTTGGACATGATGACACAAATGAATTAGCCGCACTGAAAAGATTGATTGCTGCAACAATTTAGATAGTAAAATATGGCATAAGATTTTTAATTGGCTGCAGCAATTAATCTTTTCTTTCAGTGCGCTATTTGAAAAAAGCAAGAGATGAATGTATATATACATAACATTAAAAAAATTCAAGATTTTCCTTTGTTGCGTATTTTTAAAAAATATTTTGTTGAATCTTTAGATATATAAAGATTTTTATGGGATCGATGATTGCAAATCTAAAGTCGAAATTTACATATTTATGTTACTCTTGAATATACCAATTTATAAGGTCTCTGACTTTTAAAAATAAAATAAACTATATATTTGCTTGCTTATTTATTATATTAAAAAATTCTCCTTTTGACATGGAAAATTCAAAAGACAAACAATAAGAATGTTTTAATAAAATAATTATGCACACTACATGTTTATGTAATTTATTCATAAAAGTGAAATTAACACTTTGACTATACTGTTTTAATGTTGTTATATTTCCAAGAAATTTAAGTCACCGGGAAAGGCGATTGTTAATAAAAACCGCAATGAAGAATATGGCACATGTAACGAATATTATGAAAAAAAAAGTTATAATATTTTAGTTTAATTGGAAGATAAAGCTATGAAAATACAATTTTCATGAATATTTATCAATCCATCATGTGAATCGATCCATCGAAAGGAATTTATAAGTGTATCTACACTGAGAAAAAATGCTGTTGATTCAATTAAACTCTATATTACGGGCTGTCACAAACATAAGTGATTTACTAACATAATTCATGTATATTTTTATTGATATAAAGGCATAGATTAAATTAAATTTCAATAATCAAGGCCCTATCAATAAAAATATACATGAATTAATCACTTATGTTAGTGACAGCCCGTAATATAGATTTTAATTGATCAACAGCCTTTTTTTTCAGTACCAATGTAACAATGAGCTACGTTATCTGTATTCATTTTTTTCCGTGTGTACGTGCGGCCTATGGACAGGCGCAACCAAAATTATCTCTTACTGGCCGGAGTAAATATCGCCATCAAGCATGATACGCTCTCTAACTTTGGATGGTATTATTGTGAGTGTATCACACATTGTATGTACAATAAATCGTTACTTAAGCTTTAAATCTTAAGCCGTAAGAAATTGACCAGTCATGGTTGAACATAAGAAGAATAATCGACTGTGATTGTCAATTTCTTAACTCTATAAAGTTAACAAGACCACTATAAATAGAATCAAATCTTATGAAATTTTTAATACTCATTTTGTACCGTGTGCCATTTTGAAAAAAATGTGGCGGAGCTGACTTAATTATATTATATTAATATTAATTATATTAATTATATTAATTATATTAATACAAAATAAAAGAAAAATAAATATCGGAAATCGATAAGATTGAATTTGTATTATTTTGTACTGCCAAAAATAATTCTATATTATGTGTCATTTCCAAGAAAACAGTGGCGCTGCTATTTTAATATTTAATATTTAAGCAGGATTAAAAAAGATAACAGAAGAGCAAAAATTAACACAACTGAATTTGTACTAATTTATATCATTGAAAATATAAGTTAATATTTATAATATTTAAGTTTTTATTTTTAATATTTTCTCCTTAAAATGACTTTATTAGTATACTTATAATCTATGAGACATTCCACGTCAAACCAGGCCTTTGAAACATCATTTTATTTTTTTTTTAATTTGTTAACATATTCTATTAAAAACATGAGAAACATGTTTTGAAAAAAATTTGAAATTTTTTTTGTAAATTATTATAGGAATCTTTTTAACGCTTGTAAGTTGCAGAAATTCATAAAAAATGTCGCTTATGCGAGCATTCAGATTATTATATTGTCGAACAAAAAATTAGTCAAAAAATGCAAGAGATCGATTTTAAAGATCGTAAATTGTTCTATAGACGAGTTATTTCGAGTTCAGAAAAACAATAAAAAATAAATTATACACATGCTCTATGCCTTAAATGATATAATGATATAATTTGCCTTTTTGTAATTTTTTCTAAAATGAAGCAAAAATGAGCATATCTCTAAAGGACTTTTTTTTTATTTTATTGATTTTCGCACTCCTGATGTTTAACCACTTAAATTCAAGACACTCTGTATATAGTTTATAGAGTTTAGTGTTTTGTGATACATATATATTTTTAGATATATTTATTTAGATTTATGTATAAGTTGTTTTATTTTAAAGAATTATTGCGTACCATGTATTGTGTGTATTTGCTGTGAATTAGTTGATGCTATTAATAAACAAACTGAACAT